TTTCTACTTTTACTTGAGGAACATTTTGAATGCAGGACTTTTACTGTAACAGAGTATTCCTACACTCTGGTACTTCTACTTTTACTCAAGTACAAGATCTGAGTACTTCTACTTTTACTCAAGTACAAGATCTGAGTACTTCTACTTTTACTCAAGAACAAGATCTGAGTACTTCTACTTTTAAGAACAAGATCTGAGTACTTCTACTTTTACTCAAGTACAAGATCTGAGTACTTCTACTTTTACTCAAGAACAAGATCTGAGTACTTCTACTTTTACTCAAGTACAAGATCTGAGTACTTCTACTTTTACTCAACAACAAGATCTGAGTACTTCTACTTTTACTCAAGAACAAGATCTGAGTACTTCTACTTTTACTCAAGAACAAGATCTGAGTACTTCTACTTTTACTCAAGTACAAGATCTGAGTACTTCTACTTTTACTCAAGAACAAGATCTGAGTACTTCTACTTTTACTCAAGAACAAGATCTGAGTACTTCTACTTTTACTCAAGTACAAGATCTGAGTACTTCTACATCTTGAATGCAGGACCTTAGAATATCCGAGTACTTCTTAAACCGATGCATGTAAATAAAAAGACAATGAGACATGTTTTCTGGACATTTTCTTTAATCCTTCATCCGTCCGTTTGCACACCGCTCGACATCTCATCATTAATATTATTATAGTTAAGTGCATACAGTGTGTGAACATCCTCACAGCAGGTTACAGTAAAATAAGTTAAACACACCTCTCTCTCTCTCTCTCTCTCTCTCTCCTGTGAAACCAGGTAAATAATGCACACTTCCTTCTTCAGGACATGAGACACAGCGGGGGTCGAACCGGCTGCAAAGAGCCTGATAACAGTGATTCAGACCTTTTAAAACAGAGGGGCCGGGGGGTTAGTCCAAATTATTTAAAAGAGTTAAATATTAAAACGAGAGGAATCTAAAAAGGGCCGTTTCTGACCATCAGGATAGAGCGTGGTAACAGCTCTGTTAGCACCAGAAAACCACCTAAACGTCCCACATTTCCACCGTTTCTCTCCGATTTAGCTTGTTTTTAGTTCAATATGAGGTCTATGTTGAAAGCAGAAAGTACCAGACGTGTGTCGTCATGACAACAAAGCCTTACAATTAAATAAAAGGGATTTTGTTCTTCATTATTCTAGTTTTATGTTTGGTCATTTGTTCAACCGTCTGATTCGCCACCCTGACCTCTTTAGACTCTACACAAATAAACCCTTTAAACAGCAAATGACTAAACATAGAACTGTATATATTCAGCATGTGGCAGCCTACGTATGAACACGGGAAGAAATACAGAAAGAAATGGACATGACTTGATCATCCGGCGCTTCATGAAGTGGCAGATTTGAGGTACGCCACCAGGTCCGTGCGCTCTCCCTTCTTCTTGATGCCGGCGAAGATCATTTTGGTGCCAGGAATGTACTTCTTAGGGTTCTCCAGGTACTCCATCAAGGTGGCGTCGCCCCAAATGATACCTGGGGAGGAGAGAGGGGGGGGGGTTAAAGACGGAGAGATGAGTCGATTAGGAGAAAAGAGAGGAACATCTGAGAGACCAGAGCATTAGGGCGAAGAGTACAAGGGTTAAGAAGGAACTAAGGTATCGATCAATCAATCAATCAATTAACTTTGAGTCACAACCTGAGGGGAAATCTAAGAGACCAGAGCAAAGGCGAAGTGTAAAAGCCTTAAGGAAGGGTTATTTAGGGGTTCTTTAGGGGGTTATTTAGGGGTCATTAAGGGGTCATTTAGGGGTCATTAAGGGGTCATTAAGGGGTCCTCACCTTTGCTCTTGTTGGCGTCCGTGTAGGAGTATCCCACC